GTTCATAAGACGCTGGGATGCTTTGTATGATCCATGGATACTTTGTAGGATCCATCTTCATAAATCTGACCTTTTGATTTCTGGCTTTGTATTTTTTTTTTCATTTTTTAAAATTTTTATTGTTATGTTAATCACCATATATTACTTCATTAGTTTTTGGTGCAGTGTTCCATGATTCATTGTTTGTTCATAACACCCAGTGCTCCATGCAAAACGTGCCCTCCTCAATACCCATCACCAGGCTAACCCATCCCCCTACCCCCCTCCCCTCTAGAACCCTCAGTTTGTTTTTCAGAGTCCATCATTTCTCATGGTTCGTCTCCCCCTCTGACATACTCCCCTTTTCTTCCTCTCCTGTTATCTTCTTCTTTTTCTTTTTTCTTAAAATATGTTGCGTTATTTGTTTCAGAAGTACAGATCTGTGATTCAACAGTCTTGCACAATTCACAGCGCTCACCGTAGCACATACCCTCCCCAATGTCTATCACCCAGCCATCCCATCCCTCCCACCCCCAACCACTCCAGTAACACTCAGTTTGTTTCCTGAGATTAAGAATTCCTCATATCAGTGAGGTCATGTGATACATGTCTTTCTCTGATTGACTTATTTCACTCAGCATAACACCCTCCAGTTCCATCCACGTCGTTGCAAATGGCAAGATCTCATTCCTTTTGATGGCTGCATAATATTCCATTGTGTATATATACCACCTCTTCTTTATCCATTCATCTGTCGATGGGCATCTTGGCTCTTTCCACAGTTTGGCTATTGTGGACATTGCTGCTATAAACATTGGGGTACACGTACCCCTTCGGGTCCCTACATTTGTATCTTTGTGGTAAATACCCAGTAGTGCAATTGCTGGATCGAACGGTAGCTCTAATTTCAACTGTTTGAGGAACCTCCATACTGTTTTCCAGAGTGGTTGCACCAGCTTGCATTCCCACCAACAGTGTAGGAGGGTTCCCCTTTCTCCACATCCCCGCCAACATCTGTCATTCCCTGACTTGTTAATTTTAGCCATTCTGACGGGTGTGAGGTGGTATCTCATGGAGGTTTTGATTTGGATTTCCCTGATGCCGAGCGATGTTGAGCACTTTTTCATGTGCCTGTTGGCCATTTGGATGTCTTCTTTGGAGAAATGTCTGTTCATGTCTTCTGCCCATTTCTTGATTGGATTATTTGTTCTTTGGGTGTTGAGTTTGATAAGTTCTTTATAGATTTTGGATACTAGCCCTTTATCTGATACGTGATTTGCAAATATCTTCTCCCATTCTGTCGGTTGTCTTTTGGTTTTGTGGACTGTTTCTTTTGCTGTGCAAAGGCTTTTTATCTTGATGAAATCCCAATAGTTCATTTTTGCCCGGGCTTCCCGTGCCTTTGGCGATGTTTCTAGGAAGAAGTTGCTGCGGCTAAGGTTGAAAAGGTTGCTACCTGTGTTCTCCTTTAGGATTTGGATGGACTCCTGTCTCACGTTTAGGTCTTTCAATCATTTGGAGTCTATTTTTGTGTGTGGTGTAAGGAAATGGTCCAGTTTCATTCTTCTGCATGTGGCTGTCCAATTTTCCCAACACCATTTGTTGAAGAGACTGTCTTTTTGCCATTGGACATTCTTTCCTGCTTTGTCAAAAATAAGTTGACCATAGAGTTGAGGGTCCATTTCTGGGCTCTCGATTCTGTTCCATTGATCTATGTGTCTGTTTTTGTGCCAGTACCATACTGTCTTAATGATGACAGCTTTGTAATAGAGCTGGAAGTCCGGAATTGTGATGCCGCCAGCTTTGCTTTTCTTTTTCAGTATTCCTCTGGCTATTCTGGGTCTCTTCTGGTTCCATACAAATTTTAGGATTATTTGTTCCATTTCTTTGAAAAAAGTGGATGGTATTTTGATGGGGATTGCATTGAATGTGTAGATTGCTCTAGGTAGCATTGACATCTTCACAATGTTGATTCTCCCAATCCATGAGCATGGAACGTTTTTCCATTTCTTTGTGTCTTCTTCAATTTCTTTCATGAGTATTTTATAGTTTTCTGAGTACAGATCCTTTGCCTCTTTGGTTAGATTTATTCCTAGGTATCTAATGGTTTTGGGTGCAATTGTAAATGGGATCGACTCCTTGATTTGTCTCTCTTCTGTCTTGTTGTTGGTGTATAGGAATGCCACTGATTTCTGTGCATTGATTTTATATCCTGCTACTTTACTGAATTCCTGTATGAGTTCTAGCAGTTTTGGGTGGAGTTTTTTGGGTTTTCCACATCTGGCTTTGTATTTTATTTTGCCGGTTAGAACGCATCAATGTTGTGTGCTCCTGATGCAGTGTTCACAGTGTTTAGTCCTGCTTCGGGCTTTAGGGCTAGGTTTGAGATTGGATGTGGATTTCAGGTAATATCTTTATGATGTCAGAGAACGACTTTGTCCTAGGTTTTGCTGTTTTTAATCGGGGATGGGTGCTTGATCTTGCCAGATGGTGCTTTGCTCCCTATGGGAAAGTGGCGTGCTTTTACTCTTGGTTATGTGTCAGCTTTAGGTACTATCGCTAATCTCGTGGGTGGAGCTGATGCTGAGCCTTTGGTCAGAAGGACAGCCTGCCCTTAGGAATTTCATATGACAACAGCTTATGCACAATGAGGGTGCTCTTTCCCCCTCATATATGGGTTCCAGGGAGGCCCTTTATGGTTGATGTGGCAGAACTGATCCATGCCACGCTGACAACCCAGTCTCCATCTGTTAATTGGTCTGCCATTGTTAGTGCGTGGCCCTTGTCCTCATGAATCAAGATGGTAAGTAGAGAACCAGACATCATTACTGTATCCCCAGCAACAGAGGGAGACAAGGAAGAACAGGCTGTCTTTAAGGAACGTTCCAGTAGCTCCCATGTGACCTTTCAAGCCCTAGCTCGTGGGCCACCTCTAGTTGCGAGGAAAGGCTGGACCACGAAGTGTTTAGTTTAGGTCACCAAGCCCCAGACAAGAGTGAGGGGCTAGATGGTCATGCTAGAGGTGGAGAAGGGGTCCGGGGACAGTGGCCAGCTCTGCCTTTGCCTCTCTCCCAGCACCTGCAGGCACCACCCGGCATTCCCAGCACATTGCCTTCCTGTCCCCTCTGCCTTTTCAGGTCCTCCTTCCCTCCTGGTGCAGCCCTTGGTCTGCGGCTGACTCAGTTTCCCTATCCTAACTCCAGATCATGCAGGGCAGCTGAGGCGATAGAGAGACCAGGTCCCAGAGGTGTGCCAAAGCCTGGGTCCTCAGAGAGAGAGTGGTTCCAGGGCATTAGGAGAATACTGATGGGGAGGAGAGTGTGATGAACATGCGGGGAAGCAGCCTCCCTTGTTTGATCTGATGTTGCGTTTTTATAGTGCTGATGAGGGATTTAAGAGCCGTGTCCTGAGCAGTGGGCCTCGGAGGTGTGGCAGGCATGACGGGCAGTGGGCCCTGCAGTACAGTGACCCCTTCTCTGAGCACCTGCTGAGGAAGCTGTGTGCCTGTCTCCCTGTCTGATGTGATGGAATTCAAATAGGGCTGAACTGACCCACAAAGGCAGAGCTGAGATGCAAGGCCAGGCAGCCATCCTTTTCTCCAGGGACCCTCAGTGCAGGGCACTCGGGGGTAGGTGTCACTCCCTGAGCCCCTAAACGGGGCTTGGTGGCCCGGGGTGTGGGGCCCCATGACATTGGGTCTTCCCCTGGAGAGAGAGTGAAGCTGTGTGTTTTTCGGGCCCTTCGTGGGCGGCCTTCTGTAGTGTCCAGCTGCATCTGTGTCCCCACCTTGTGCCTCACGGCATTTCCAGAAGCTTCCGGGTGTGTTCGCGTTGCTGATGCTGCTGTTGGCCTGTCCATGTGGCGGCCCGAGCAAGCCCTGCCCCAGCTCTCTCCCCGTCCGGCACCGCCAGTCACTGCAGACTGTGTCTCAGTCTTGCCCCAGAGGCTCCGCAGCCAAGGAGGGGGTCGGCGTCCACCGGCCAGACCCCAGTCATCCTGCAGCTCCCACACCCTGTGCAGTGGCTTTTTCGCTCCTGAGGCTGTCCTCACATGCTCAGCCTGGACACTTCCACGTCTGGAGTCGTGTGCTCCGCCGGGACCTGGAGGCCTGTCCCCCCAGCTGACCCGATGTCAAGAGTGGCCCTAGGCCATTCCACTATTGGGATGTCCCTCTTCTGCATCGGAGCCTGTCCCTTTGGCAGCTGTGTGTGTGGACCTCAGGGTGGAGCCAGGCCTCGCTCTCGTTTGCTTTCCGAAGCAGGGTGGGAAGGGGAGCGAGAGGGACCGAGGGATGGGCCTCTGATGCGGGTGTGGCTGGCTGGTCAAGGGCCAGTGGGGTTGAGGTCAGGCTAGGATCCTGGGGAGGAAGAAAGGCAGGGTCTGGATGAAGAAACCGAGTCCTCCAAAGAGCAGTGGGGTCTCCAGGGCAGCAAGGCTCCTCTGGAAAAGCCTAGATGTTGATTCCATTCTCTGGGGGGGGGATGAAAGCATCTGACCCCCATAGAAAAGGAAGAAATCAAAAGACAAGACCAGGGGAGAAATGCAGTGTTGTCTATTTGTCTCTGTGAGATCAGGGGACCCCTGTTGGTCCTGGGGGATGGGTTTCTACAGCCCATCTTGAGGTCCCTCTCAGGCCCATGTTGGACAGTGGGGTGGGGAGTGAAGCCGGGCATCCTGTGTTTCCTGCCTGTGAGCCCTGCTCAGTGCAGCTGGGGCACACGGGTGAGGGGCCCAACGGGGGAGGGTTGCCATGGTGGCCTGGGTGTTCCGGAGGTGATGCCGGTCCCTTCCCTGTGCTTGGGGAGCGAGTCACCTGTGTAATGACAGGCCAGGCCTGCGCACAACCCGCCGGGGCTTGGGGACCAGGCAGGATCTGCAGGACCAGACCGCATGCTGGTGCCCATGAGGAGGGTCTGCAGCCCCTCACGCAGGGCAGCTCATCAACACCACCCTCAGGGGAGTGATTGAGGACTGATGGGGAAGCCCCCACTGCATCACATGGGCCTGTCTCTCCTGTCCAGGAGCGGCTGCTTATGAGCCTTCTGCCCCGGAATGTTGCCATGGAGATGAAGGAGGACTTCCTGAAGCCCCCCGAGAGGATTTTCCACAAGATTTACATCCAGCGGCATGACAATGTGAGGTAGGGCTGACGCTGGCCTGGCGGAGGTGGGCCTTGGGGAGCTCAAGTGAGAGTGATGGGAATGGGAGGCGATGGTGGGGGTGGGGTAAGCATGGGGGTGCAGGTAATGGCAGAGATGGGAGGCCACAGGCAGACGGGGGTGGAGGGCCCCCTTTTGAGGGGAGGAGGGGCCAGGTGTGGGTCGTGGGTCGGGAGGCGCAGGTGAGCACCTGCCGGCTGGGAAGCAGGTCCCATGGAAGGTGGGCCTGGAGAATTCTTGGGTGATGGGTGTCACAGCTGCTCTGTCCCACTATTCCTCACCTCCCATTTCCTGCGTGGGCTAGAGAGAGGGTTGGCACTCTGCCCCTGAACTGGTTTGGGTGGCGGAATTTGGGCTGGGACTTGGCGCACGTCAGGGTAACGGCTGAGCGTTCTTCTACCTGGTGCCGGGCCTATGGTAGGCGTTCTGTTCCTCACTTGGCTCCTCTCGTGGCAGCCCAAGGAGGTAGGGAGTGTCCCGTTTTGCAGGTGAGGAAAGAGTCCTCGGGTGAACCAGCTCACCCCAGACACACTCTGAGGTTTGTGTGCTTGTTTTTAAAGACGCAACTAAAAATAAGTTGGTTCCACTCAATCGTACCTTCACTTTAAGAGTACTTACACTAGCTGAGTGTTGCACTTTCCATTAGTGTTACTCAGGCAGGCGGTGGTGGACGACCCTGGGCCCCCGCAGACACCACAGGACCCAAACCTCCTCCTGTTTGTGTTGAGTGCTGTGGACTGAGTCCCCACAAGCTGGCGCTTGTCCGTCGGGAATGAGCTAAGTAAGGCCTGCGGCTGCCAGCCCCTCCCCATCGGGGTCCGAGCCACCCGTGTGTGTGAGCTGGCGTGGCCAGCCACTGTCTGCTGCGCATGCTCACTTCCACTGCTGTGCCTCTCGGGAAGGACCGGTGTTGTCCTCCTGTGGAGGACGGTGAGCCCAGTGAGGGTAAAGCCCCAGGGTGTGGAGCCAGCATTTCAGTCCTGGCAGCCCAGGCACTGTCGTCTCTACTTGCAGGTGAGGAAACTGAGGTTGAAAGTGAAGCCCATGAGTGGTGGGGCTGGGGCCGGGCCTGGGACTGGCTGCTTCTGGCATCCACCTAGAGTTCCCATTCACCCACTGGCTCTCCTTTGTGAGTAAGGACATGGCACAGTGACCCAGCCCCCTGCTGAGACCAGACCACCAGAACAATCCAGAGAGTGCCTGGGGGTGGGTGTAGAGCGTCTGCAACCCACAGTAGGGAAGGCATCAGATGTCAGGGACCTCCTGGGGTGGCAGCTGGGGGTGAGCCTGGTGCACGATGCCCTGGGACACCAGACACACGTGGAAAGTCACCGTTTCCCTGTGAGGCTGAAAAATCTCCATCCACATCCCCTGGCAGGTGCCTCATTCCCAGCAGGTGCAGGTGTGACAGCTCTGAGGTACGAGGGGAAGCCAGGGTGAGAGATGGCTTCCTCTAGCCCAGATGTGAATATCTCCCTGTTCTCCTCGCCATCCTTGTTAGAGTCCCTCACTGGTCCCCATCACTCCAGGATTAAAGTTCCGAGTCAGTACACCATTCACAGCTGATAGGCTGATGCCATCAGGAACAGTGGGGTGAGGACATCTGAAAATCCTCTCCTCCATAGAAGCAATGACAATACTGACGAAAACTGTCAGAGTCAACATTGTCAGGACGCTGGAAATGAGCCCAAGCCTTGCAGGGATCCAGGAATGTTTACTTAAGAAAAACGCCTAAATCTTGGTAAAAACAGCAAGCTTTGTAGAGTTCTGACTTACCCTGTTCCACCGTTTTTAGCTCCATGATAGCTTTGAAAACCAGCAGCTGCAATCACAGGGAAAACCTGTCCACTGACAGCCATCTGAGGGGACAGAATGGGGTTGGGGCTTTGAAAAATCCTCAGAGAACTGTGTCATTATTTGACTGCCTGGGAATTCCCTGGAAAACCTTGCTCAAGGCTTGTCTTTATTTGACCTGACTCGACACTCAGTGTGAACAGCTTTTGCCCTGGGACATTTGTTAAAAAATCAGTGACAGTTGTTTAACATCATAGCTGTCAGAGACAGTGAAAGCAGCTGAGGCAAGCAGCAGAGCACTAAAAACTTAAAACTGGGGAACAAGATGTCTGTCAGGTGCTTTGAAAGGCTCTGGGAATGTTTCTGGGAATCAGAAGACCGTGCACAAGGGTAAGGCTGTGTGCATGCTCAGGAAAGACCACAAGGACCCCGGGCTGTCCTTGAGGTCTTGAGGCTGACCTTGAGGCTGTGTGCAAGCAGGAAGAGCAGACTAAGACAGAGTTGGAATCTGCCTGGCTGAGTGCCCATCATCAAAGACTGAAAGACTTACTGGCTTCAGGCATGTGAGGAAATTTCTGTCCAGTCATTAGCTGACCACTAGGCTAACCAACCAGAGAGTTTAATGGCCCCACGTGAGAAAGAAAACAGTCTTTACAGGATTTGTCAGAAAAGTCAATGAACAAATAACACAAATAGCAACAAGAACAACCCCAGTCCTGAGGTGTGTGTGTTGGGGGGGGGGTTCTGATTTTCAGAGTTGTCACATTGTATTATCCAGTTTTCCATAAAAATATATGCAACATGCAAGAAACCACAAATGTTTGACTCACGCAGGAGTGACAAAAGCAGTCAATAGAAGCTGTCCCAGAAGAAGCCCACACATTGGACTTCTAGACAAAACTAAATCACATATATTTTTTAGAGATTTTATTTATTTATTTGAGAGAGAGAGCATGAGTGGGGGGGCAGAAGGAGAGGGAGAAGCAGACTCCCCACTGAGCAGGGAGCCTGACGTGGGGCTCCATCCCAGGACCCCAAGATCATGACCCAAGCCGAAGGCAGACTCTAAACCGACTAAGCCACCCAGGCACCCCTAAAGCACCCATTTTAAATACGTTCAAAGAACAAACCATGTCTAAATAAAGGGGAACATGAGAAAGACTTCCAGAAATTCCAACTTTGAAATATACATTAAAATGAAAAGGTCACTAGGGGAGCTCCACATTGAGCAGGTTTGAGCAGGTTGAAGAAAGAATTGGTGAACTTGAAGACAGACAGTTGAGGTCATGGAACCTGATGAACAGAATGAGAAAAGGGTGACAGAGAGAGAACAGAGGCTCAGAGACTCCAGGGACACCGACCAGCCCAGCAACACTCCCATAATGAGTCCCAGAGGAGAGGAAAGGGGCAGAGAGAATATTTGAAAAGAAATATGGCTGAAAATGTCTCGAATTCGATGAAAAAACGCTCACTTACACATGTTAGGACACACACAAAGAGAGCCACCCCCAGACACATCGTAATCGAACTTTAAAAGCCAGAGACTAGGAGAGCAGTGGGAGAGAAGTGATGTGTCACATGCAGGTGACTGCCAACAAGACCAATGTGTGATTTTTCATAGGGAGTGTTGGAGGTGGGGGCTGGGGGTGGCACGTTCAAGGGCTGAACTAAACAGTCAGGAATTCTGTATCCAGCAGAAATCACAGTGAGGGCACCACTGTGCCGCGTGAGGCTTCATGGCTGTAGAGTGTCCAGGAAGGAGGCTCTGTTGGGGGGTGGGCACCCTTGTTTAGACCTGCCCAGCTCTGTAGCAAACGGATGCCCACACATCAGGCTTCCATCCCACTAGGTGAGGCCCTGTCCCGATGCAGACCTAGCTGGCCCCTTGGTGAGGCTCGGGGATCCACAGCGGGGCTCCAACTACGCTGGGGCTCTGTCGCCTTGTCAGCCCGCAGGAGGGGAAAGGGGCGAGGCCAACTCACTTCCTACAGGCACATCCCTTGTGCTCACTGACCACTGGTCCCAGGCCGTCTTGGGCTGGGGTTAGGTTTGGTGGCCGTGGAGCTGTGCCCCGCCCGTGTCCTGGGGGGTCAGCAGGAAATCCGCCTGGCCCCAGCGTTCACTCTGCCCCCCGTGGCTGTGAGGGCGTCCCCCACTTCCCTTCCAGCCCACCCCGAGGAATAAACACGTTTATTTTGGGCTGCTCATAAAGGCAGCCCTGGGCACAGCTCTGGGGGCTGCGGTCCGCCTGGGAGGCTGGGCCCCGCGTGCCCGCGGAGGAGGCAGCCTGGTGCCTTTTTCTTGCAGCATCCTCTTTGCGGACATCGTGGGCTTCACGGGCTTGGCGTCACAGTGCACCGCGCAGGAGCTGGTGAAGCTCCTCAACGAGCTCTTCGGCAAGTTTGATGAACTGGCCACGGTAAGCGCAGCCCCCCGTTGTGCACGGATCGCTGGAGCGGCCTCTGGGGCAACAGCGTGCCCGGTGGGCTCCAGTGGTGCGGGTGTGAGCGGGCGGACCGCCTAGCGCTTTCGCCCCGCCCAGCTGTCAATCACCCATAGCTCCCGCCTTGCGGAACCCCAGCGCTTTGGTCCCGCCCAGCTTTCAATCACCCACAGCTCCCGCCTTGCGGACCGCCCAGCGCTTTGGTCCCGCCCAGCTGTCAATCATCCACAGCTCCCGCCTTGCGGACCGCCCCAGCGCTTTCGCCCCGCCCAGCTGTCAATCACCCGCAGTTCCTTTGAGCAAAGGAAAGCGCTCTCCCTAGCGCAGCCAGAGCGCCTCCAGCTGGCTGGGTCCTGAGGCCCTGCGCGGGCTGCTCTGCCTTGAGGGTCATGTCTGGGGCCAGTTGGTGACGTTTGACGATGACAAACCCCCTTGCCTGTGGCAGGAGAGTGCTGGCGTTTTAAGACCTTCCTGGGACAGGTCACGTTCAGCCGTGCAGAGGTCAAGCCCAGGCCTGGCTAACAGCTTGGGCTTTCGGTGTGGAGGCAACTGACCGCCTGGTGTCCTTGGAACTTGACACCCGCCTTCCCTGCCCTGCAAGGACTTGCGGGGGGCGGGGGGGGACACAGAGATGTAGAGCCACGCCCACCTGCCCGGCCAGCCTCCCTCCAGGTGGACGCAGAGGGACCCTGAGCAGGTGGCTGTGGGGGAGGGGTAAACTCTGCTCAGAGTCAGAACTTTTCTCAGGGAAGGTCACAGTTAAAGGGCTTGGTAGAAAGAGTGGACAGACGTCCCCGTGATGAGGGAGGGGGAGGAGAGGTCCCCTGCCAGTGTGGCTCACACAGCGGAGTCGTGAGGACGTCCCTGCGTGTGCAGGGTGGGGTGAGGGTACCACGTGGGCTGAGGGTACCACGCGGGCTGCAGACTCAGGATGGCCCCTGGGCAGGACACAGAATGCCAGGCCCCAGCACCTGCCCTTGACCTGCAGGCGGAATGGGTGGTGATCACGCTGGCTGCAGTTTTGGGACCGGGCGCAGGCGGGAGAACACTCGGCCTCGGGGGTGGGCGGCATGTGGGACCCCGATGCTGCCCCCCTCCCCCGCCCTCCACCCTGCAGTTTCCTTGAGGGGTGGCAGGGATCCTGAGACGTCCAGTTGTAAGGTCCCGCTTGCTCCAAATCGGTTGGCGCTAGAACCCTTTCTCCTGTGGCACCCCGTTGATGTCCTGGGCCTGTGCTCAGCGGGACCCCATGTTGGGGAGGCCGCTGCTTCTCTTCCCAGGATGAAAGTAGGAAGCGGCTGTCCACCGAGGGCGGGCGCTGCTTCTGGCCGTCACGTCCTGTCGCTGGGCGCCCTTGCAGCCTGTGCTTGGGTCTGGGGGCGTCTCTGGGCTGGTGCCCTGGGGAGCCGCTGTGGCTCCGCCCACATGAAAGCTCTCCGGGGCCTCCTCCCTGCCCGACATCTGTGGTTTGGGGGAAGTATAAAGGAGGAGTGAGGAGTGTGAGCTTGTCCCCTGTGGCTTGTGTGGCTCGCTGGCCTGGTGGGAGCTTAGCACCTCCTGTGTGAGGTCAGAAAGTGTGTTTTGTCTGGGGCCAGGGTGCCTGGTGGCCCGGGGCTCTCTCGGTGCTGCTCCGAGCTTTCCTGGGCCTGCACCTTCTTCCTGCGCCTCCTGAAGAAGCTTCTGGATGAGGGTTCCACTGGCCACTGAGGCTGTCTGAGCACATGCTGCTGATGGAAGGGTGTGCCTTCCCCCCACCGTCGGAATCGGTCTTTCCAGCATCCAGACGTCAGCATCCTGGTCCCGGTGGGGACATGTTTGCTCAGTGACTCGGTGGTTAGCAGTGTCACCAGCCTGGCTGGTGGCACCCCCCCCCCCCCCACCCCACCGCTGGCCCCGGGGGACCGTCCCCACCCCCACTCCCGGTCTCTTACAACGGCACCTGCCCCCTGCCCCCAGGACAATGGGAGTCTGTAGACTCTCACCTTGTCCTTCTTCAGACGGGCTGCTCGTGTTTTCACTCTGCATCTTTACGCACGTCCTGGCTACTTGTTTTCTGTTACTGGGAGAGGGCTCTTGAGCTCTGTTATGTAATTTATAGCTCTGTCTGCGTCCCCTTCGGTCCTTTCAGTTTTGCGGCCTATGTGCTCAAGCTCTGCTATTCGATTCCTAAACATTTAGGGTTCTTAGGTCCTCCTGATGAATTAGCTCTTTGTGTTTTTTTTAGAGAGAGTGTGAGTGGGGGGAGGGGCAGGAGAGAGAGAGAGAGAATCCCAAGCAGACTCTGCACTGAGCGTGGAGCCCGACTTGGAGCTCGATCTCATGACCCTGAGATCATGACCTGAGCTGAAATCTAAAGCTGGGCGCTCAACCAACTGCGCCACCCAGATACTCCTAATTAATTATTTTTTCATTAAAAAATGACCCTCTTGGGGCACCTGGGTGTCTCAGTCGTTAAGCGTCTGCCTTTGGCTCAGGGCATGATCCCCAGGGTACCAGGATCAAGTCCTGCATCCGGCTCCCTGCTCCTCTGGAAGCCTGCTTCTCCCTCTCCCACTCGCCCTGCTCGTGTGCTTGGTCTCTCAAATAAATAAATAAAATCTTAAAAAGAAATGACCCTCTTTAACTGGAAATCGAGTTTTGTCTGTGTCCTGTGTTAGTATGTCCGTTTCGGCTTTCCTTTTGATTATTGTCAGGAAGCGTGTCTTTTTCCATTCCCTCCACCGGTGTGTGTCGTTTTATTTAAAGGGCTGGGTTTGCCATTTCTACCTCAAATCCGACAGTCCACCTTCGAGGGCCGTGCTGTCGGCTCACTGGGGTTCATCCCATCCGTTCCTTGTTGTTTTACTTTTTCTGCCGGTCTGTAGGTTCACGGAGTGTGTTCTGTGACCCGGCCCTGGCGCCTGTGTGGGCTGAAGGGTGAGTGCTCTTGGCGCTGTAGGGACGGTGTGTCTGCTCTGGGGTCTGTGGCACATTCCTTGACTCCGTCTGAGAAGCTCGCAGGACGCGCCGCCCTCCTCGGCCTTTGTGAAATCGTGCATCTTTTCCTTTTTGTCATAAACCCCATCCTGCGTTGTCACCATTTTTGTTTGCACAAACACGCCGTTCCCTTTTGAAGGTCTGTTGCTCTCGGGGCACGTGGGATTCGCCAGCGTGTCTCCATGGGGTTTCTCTGCCGAAGGAAGGGCAGGCCAGCTGGTGATGAATCTTCTCTGTCTCTGTGTTACTGAGAAAGATCTTTGTTTCGCCCTTAGTTTTTGAATTTCTTTTCACTGGGTATAGAATTGTGAGTTAACAGGTGTATTTATTGTATTTATTTATTTGACAGAGAGAGACACAGCGAGAGAGGAAACACAAGCAGGGGGAGTGGGAGAGGGAGAAGCAGGCTTCCCGCCGAGCAGGGAGCCCGATGCGGGGCTCGATCCCAGGACCCTGGGATCATGACCTGAGCAGAAGGCAGACGGCCAAGGACTGAGCCACCCAGGCGCCCCTTCACTTCTGGTTTTAAGCAATTTGATATTGATGCGCCTCCATTTGGTTTTCTTCACGGTGTTTGGGCTTCCCACATCGGTAGGTTTATGGTTTTGTCATCTTGGGGAGAAAGCCCTCAAATACTCCTTGTGTGTCTCCCCCTTCCTTTGGGGACCCCAAAGGAGGATCCTTTTCTATTTTGGGTTCTTTTTCCTTTTCTTTCATTCTGGATGGTTTCTGCTGCTGAGCTGTCCAGGTGACTGGCCTTGTCTCCTGCGAGGTGTGACCTGCTGTCTGTCCATCCATCCATCTGGCACAGTGTGGGTCTCTGAGGTTATGTTTCCATCTCTGGAAGTTCAGCGTGGATCCCCCGCCCCGTCGAAGTTGCTGCCGGACAGTTGAGAATTAGGAAGCTCTGCTCTTAGTGCGTCGATGGGGTCGAGTATTTTTCAACTGTGTTTTCCCTCCAATCTGCTTGAGCCCTGCTTCGAGGAGGCACGGCACGTGTCCCGGTGTCTGGTGCGCAGGATGCGGTGAGGCCCGCAAGTGTGCTTGGAAATCACACACGCCGTGAGCCATACATCCGTCCTCACCATGGTCCTGCCGGGCAGTCAGACCCAGAGCGTGTGTGTGTCTGCCTTGGTCTCCACAGTCACTGGCCATTTATGTACCCCTTATCCTTGGCTGGCGGCAGATGTGCACAGTATTTTTGACCTTTTTTTCCATTTACTGGGGCCATTTTAGGCTTCCATTTGCTCTGATGACAGGGCCCTTCTCTGGATGCCAGTGTTCTTACCAAGGAAGCGAACCGGCTGGATGAAACAGATGTCCCTCCAGGCGCTTCCAGGAGGCCGTGGCGAGGAGTCCAACTGTGCCGGCTGTGGAGGCCAGCCTGGCTCCCTGCCTGCTCCTCAGGGGTGACGGGTCCTTAGTCGGGGTCGTGACCCCAGGAACCCTTCCAGGGACTGTTTCCGGCGTGAGCTTGTTGTACCGTTGTAAGTTCTCAGGCCCAAGGTGGCCTTTGTCTGGCCCATGACAGGGGACATACTCAGATTTAAGACAATGTAGGCCACACGCCCAGGCAAGGTGGCTGATTTGCACCCGAGCCAGTGGGCAGTTGGCGAGGGTGGACAAGCCCAGGAGGCGTTTCCTGTCGGGGTGAGCTGTGTCGGCTCCTGAGCTCTCCTCGGGGACCCCACCCCGGGCTGGGCCAGTCTGCACTGTCCCCGGCTCGCACACAGCGGGGGCCTTGCTGACCCACCTGACCCGACACGCCGGAGCACTGGGGCAGACCGCAGGGATTGGTTGGGATTGTGAGGGAAGACAGGACGGTGCCGGGGCTGAGAATCTGGCCACCCACGGTGAGTGGGAGGCTCGCGGCACGCTCCGGCTCTTTGGCTCAACCTTGAGTTTCTGGAAGATGACTATTATGACCGTGTTAGTGAAGGTGTTAGTTCTGGGTGTTCCCGTGGAAACCAGTCCGAGAGCTGGAGCTCGCTGGGGCGTGT